CAGTGCTCCGCTGCGTTGGGAGCTGGTACCCCGTTTATTCTCAATTCTATGTTGACATTAGTACACATTATTAATGAAAGACATTATAGAAGTTCACTCTAAATTACTAACAATTTGTGACTACCATAATAATATCATACTGAGTAAATATCCCCCACATTAGCACAATTATTTTAAAGTCCAGAAATTTAATATTAAATAAAAACAAAAATAAATCCTTTGCTTCCATTTTCAATCTTAAGTACTATATATTTAATATAGTTTGCATACTTTAAACGTATTTTCAATACAAAATCATTACCAGTTGTTGTACGAGTATTACTTGCGATTCAAATTATAGGTTACCATATGGTTTCGATTTCATTGCAATGGAAAATTAGTCCATTAGGCATTACTATTAGTATTGCATTAGTGTTTATTTGTAGTATTTCGATTTAATTATTCTGTAATACTGCATTTCACACTGAGGAGGTGCTCATATGCAACAATTATTTAGATAACCATAATGCTATGGAATTACCTTAAAGTATCAAAACTGTTTAGAAATACCATAGTTCCGTGCAAATTAATTCTGTTCTTATATTCAATAGTAATTTCAATGAAGTGTACTAATTATTACTAATTGATTAACATTACATCGAGCAGTTTATTCCAGTATCTAAAACAGAAAACTATGACTTTATACAAAATTTTTTAATATTTGTTAATTGAAAGAAGAAGATACATTTCAGATCTCCTTGACATTGAGTGCCTTAAATTATTATCACCTACGTTGTTTTGACTTAATATTTATTTATAAAGTAATATTCATGAGTTATTTAAACGAATATAAAAATGTTTTCATGAAACAAAAGATAACTCTATGGCATTACATAAATTTTAGACTTCAAAATACGGACTGCAATGACAACACAAATTTCTGAACAAAAAGACATACTGGTGGATGAAAATATTAAAGCCATATATATACTAATATATACATATATTTATATATATATTATAAATGCATTAAAAAAGTATACATATATTACAAAGTATATGCAGTATATATATATATTCACGAAAACTAAAAGGTTTACCAACACCACTTTAGCGAATCTCAGAATAGTTACAGGCTCCTCGGGAAGGTATGCAGATCTGAGGTCAGGTAGTGCTTAGTTTGAAGAAGTTATAAACAATAATTCAGTCAAGTCAAGGGGTTATGAAGAAATCGTACAGTTAATAGAGAAAAAAAGTGCTCAAGTGCACTGACTCAACTAGCCTCAACATAATAATTCTTATATTTTGAAAATATGAGAATACTTTATAAATATATGGTTAGTACACACACTAAAATACTATATACTATATATTTGAATTATCATTTTCTCATATTTTAAAAGTATGAGAATAATTAATAAAAAATCACTTATACGCAGTGGGGTTCGAATTACATTACAAATATATGACATTATAATTATAATTAAAATTGTAATGAACGCTATCTATTTCTCATAAATCGTAAAACAAATTTATGAATATAGTTTTATTATTCTACTTATCATCCAAGAGTTTGTCTTTTAATACAAAAAAAACTTATCAACAACTTGTTGCTGTTGTTGTACAATTGGCAATAAAGTGCCTTTTTTATTTTTTTATCAATCAATTTCACTTTCAAGTATTTCATATTTTTTCTAATATTTCCCCAAGGACGAGGACGTAACAATAACATCTGATGTATATAATCACAGAAATGTGTCAACAAATTGTGAGGCTACGTAAGTGGCTTCCTGACTTACCTTTGATGCTGACTTCGTTGGAGTTGCAATTTAGTTTCGCTGTAAGCAGAGGAAGTTGCTTGTGGTTGGTTGCTGCGGCTGTTGCTGTTGCTGTTGCCGTTGCTGATGTTGTTGCTGCTGCTAACTTGTGGTGTGGGTTTTATTGCTTGTTGAAACTACAAATTTCGTTGTTAAAAGCGGCAGAGCTCTACTGAAATGACTCTTGCTGTTAGCGTTAATGTTGTGTTCTGGAGAGGGTGAAAATGTTCGTTGCGAAATTCCTGTGGGATAATTTAAAACTTGAGTTGTAACAATCATTTTTACAAGCATTTTATCTGTTATTTATTGTTATATATCAATTGTGATTTGAGTATATTTTAGAGTTGAACAAGTTGATGTCAATCATAAAGTTAGCGCTTTGATAAATTTGCTAACAATTAGGCTATTGAATTGTAAGTAAAGTATAGCTTATTAATACATATCTCTTTAATTGACAAAATAATTCTATAGTGCTTTCTGTAAGAACTTATATTATTGAATTGTTAAAATAGATGTTTAAATCTCTATATTAAACATATTAAAGAATTTAACTGATATATAAATATGGTTAGTTTTATTATATGCAAAATATATGTAAAGCAATATATATTATTCTAATAGTTAAAAGATAATATATCTGTGATAAAAAATAATCATTTTGTGGTTCATATAAACCATATCAGGTGGTTATATTTGATTTTATATACTCAGATTTATATCCTTTTGTTTATATAAATGACTATAAAAATATTTAGGATGACTAGTTTCGGTAATATATCTATTCTAATTCATTGAACAATTGTTTTTATTATTAATTAAAACCAAAAAAATGTGATTTTTTATATTTTAAATAAAAACATGTAGGCCTCTTCTCATTTTATGTATGTAATTTTGACAAAATCGATTCCAATCAACTTTATTTGGAGATTGAACATTTTCCTTACGTACATAGCCAGAGGATATTTTTATGTTAACGTAAAAAATAAAAATAAATTTTAAGGTTTCATTTAAATAGAAATGATAGTACTTTAAAGCAAATAAAAACTCACTATGAGACATATAAGTTGCTTAGCTTTAATATATTTTACATAAATATTTATTAATTTTATGAAAAATAAAAATATATATTCTTTTATCATTTTTTTTTTTAAATAAGTATTTCGTAATATTAAGTATTTAAATCATACATTTCGTTACAGTTTTTATACGTTATTAGTCACAGTATTACTTTAAGGACTTTTTTATCTTTAATTCACTATCTATTCATATTCATATCAGGTATTCATATCAGTCAAACTTTTAACCAAAAATCCTATTCTCATGGATGGTAACACAATTATAAATCTGATTTTGACAAGTGTTTGACTTACTTGGTCACCCTCATAAATGACTTCTGCTCATACCTTTTATAGACTGATTCATTAATTTTTTTCTGTTTGTTTAAATAAAAAGGGAGAGTTTTTGTATTTAGACATTGCAACGGATTTGATATAATTAAATATTTGTAACATATGTCAACCGCAAAAAGTCCTTAGGGTTTGTAAAGCCACTTTCATGATATCAATATTTTGCATTTTATGACAGCCACAAGTGGCTGAAGGAAAAAGGAATGAAGCGACTCATAGGCATTGAGATGAAATTTTTTTTTAAATGAAAAAATCAATTTTTATGTTTAATTTTTTATTTTTAATAATTTCATGAATATGAATACATTAAACTATTG